GGTCTCGCTGTAGGTGACGTGGTCGGCGTGGCAGGTTTGAAGAGAACTTCTACATCAGAGATGTTTGCCCCAATAGCTAACTCAAGCGCGGACTTGTGAGTCTTAACGATCTCTGCCAGAGTACTGCGAGGCAGGACCGAGATATTTGCGATGAAGAGTCCAAGCGGCTGCTGCACGTAAAACGCTACCTGGAGAGAGCCCGATGCGTTGCTAGGGTAACCAGGCAGTAGGTGAACCTGGTCAGTGGTGTAAAGGTCCGTAAAAGGGGAACGTCTGATGACAAGATTGAATGTTAAAAATACATGAGTTAGTCAAAGTCTTAATTCCAATTATTTAAGCTTAACATGTGTGACATTGAACTGGCCTTAGAGGCGAAACAAGTGGCTTCAAATCATATGCTTTAAAACCAAGAGAAAATAAAGGTAAGAGAGTTTATGGGCTAGAAATTTCTCGCGCGACGCGTGGACAGCCCAAGCAGCTTTCTCGAAAGGAAGAACAGGGTGCCATGTCTTAAAATAACTTAAGAGGGATTACCTTGGGTGTAAGGCATATATGCGAGATTCACTCTTTTACCTTGATCTTCTCTTGTTTAAAACAAAATAAAACAAGCAAAGAAAAACAATACATGACATACTAAAAGAATGTAAAAACATTCCGGACAAGGAAGATTTAAGGTCTCAATATAATAGCGGATTTTAATGAGCCAGACAGGATTTCAAGTTGAGCTCAAATTGCACGAAGACGTCTGTAATCAATTCAATATTTCTGTCGGTGTAGTATTTTAAAGGCTTACTCAACCCAAAAGAGTGTAAGTTAATTGAAAGGGCACCATATCGTCTATGACAGCTATGTGAAAGGGTTACCTTTTCTGTCAAAGATATCCTCCTCGTAGATAACTTTATCAGGTTCCCCCCACCCCTACCCCTGTAATGTGTCTTATTCAGAAGTGGACCTCTTTAGTTCATGTAGTTCTGAGATTCGGTAAACAATCAGTGATCACCTTTTTCGCCTAGCGTTCTTTAGGGCACATCTTGTCCTGTTTTCCGTGCAGAAATCCGTTGTTACAGACGCCATTTCGTCTTTGAATGACTTGTCCTTTTCGAAATCCCATTCAAACTGTCAAAGATGATAAAAGGAGCTCTGGTCAATATAAGCTTTTATTTAAGGACGTTCGCGCGAAAATTTTTCAGTCGATAGATTTTTTAAAATTCTTACTGCAGTCAGATAATGAGTTACTTGTGTCAGAAATGCCAAAAAACTGGGGTCACCGAATTCATTTCAGAGAAAAAGCGTGTGGAAAACTACCCTGATTTTGAAAAATTGACGCACGTAATTCAGCACGGTCTACAGGGGTTTATAGTTAAAAATATCAAAGGTGAGTCAACGGAGGCAAAAGATCTTAGTCATAATTTTATAGAGGTGGGTCTGTTGCGTAAATAATTCCAAATGTTACCAACGTTTTCACAAAACTTAACCCTTCAAGAGGCATTTAAAACCGTCGCACAGATAAACGAAGAGCTAAAAAGAACGGAATTCTATGGTGCATTTTGCAAAAAGTTCAAAATTCTAGTCGATAAATTTTCTACATCCATCAAAAGAAAAATACGGGTCACCGAACGTCCAAGATCGTTAAAGCCAGGCAAAGTTATAGCCGTGGCCATCTGCCCATTCATTGTTCATATTATTTCTTAGCGCGCGCTCTCATGCATGACGTGGCTTGTGAATTTGCATGCGCAGTAAGGATGCGCAGAAACAATTAGCACGAACACGTCATAGAGTATTTAAATGTCGAGGTGAAACTTATTCAAGAGTTATCAAAAACAACTCTTCAGTTTTTTTCTGTTAGTGAGCGTACAAAAAGTGGTATGTTACTTAATTCAAATGATTCAAGGGACAGAAAACGAAAATGCTGCTGGTATCAGCAAAAAGATAGAAATATAACAATGATCTGATCAAAAAAAAACAAAAAAAAAATTAGAAATATAACAACAAAGCAATTGTAAGGCTGATTACTACGCAGACAACACTTACATCGCTTGTGAGGGAAATTACGAACTGTACAGCTTCTTCTCTCTCTTTCTTTGATGGCACACGCGGTTCCGGTAACACTGGCTTGGGAGCTGTCTCATTCTTCGCTAGACCTAAATAAATATTTTAAAGATGTTGTTTTGTTTTTGATATTCTAGACACCAAAGACAACGATAATATAGCAAAAAGCTAGGAACAAAGACGGCCAAGATTAATGAAGACTTGGGATGTACGGCAAACAACGAACTCAAACAATCTCGACCTCTTAAATTACAAAGCAAGTAGAAGCGATCTTACTTTTTTAGCATTTTGCTTTTAACAAGAATCCAAGTTATGAGAGAGCGTGTTTTTTAGCCACAAAGCTCTTTTAGTGAGGTTTTCAATAAGATGTTGTAAACCAATGACGCCGAAACGTTATGTACAAGCGTTTATATCCCTTTTAAAGCCAAGAACATAACTTTGCTCATTCACAAAGGACACAGAAAATTTAGTGAAACATTCAAAACTCAAGGCACATTCATGCAGTTGCTGCAGAGCGTGCGACAACTCGCGATTGGTTTTGATCTAACTTCTGATTGTATGAGACAGTTGCCCGGAGTTTGTTAAACCAATCACTCGGAGTAGAAATGCAAAAACAGAGCAATCACGAATTAATTTCGACACTCAGGTGAAAACTGCTCTGAGCCAATCATAGCCAGAGTGTAGAGAGGCAAGCCCAAGGCAACTGGCCATTTCCGAGTTACCTTGTGCCTCTGCTTCAAAACGAGTCTTCGTGAAAAACCTTTCTTATGAAAGTGAGTTTGATTTGCATGAAATGAACCTGTAGGCGGAACTCAGTTTCATAGGAATGCTTTTGCCTTTAGACTCGAAAATGGAAAAATTACTAAAAATTACTTAAATTAATTGCTCCTTAATTTTGGTGCGAAATTTCAGGTTACGGTGTCACAAAGGAATTACAAAATTGCTATGGCAACGTTCTGTGCGAACTTTCTCGGTTCAATAAACAAGTCAAACCCACGATTGTAAGCGTATTTTGTCACCAACGATATTGAAAGGTGATTAAATGGCGCATTCGTGAACTTAGGATTTTGTCAAAATTTTAATAATTTGTCTCGCCCAAAGGCTGGAGAAATTATAAGAATTTTGACAAAACACGCGTGAAATTATTTCCTAATTTCATTCGTCATTATTTGATTACCATACTAATTCATCTCTGATTACCTCTGCATTTGCCATCAATAAAGTAAAGATCTTGTTCACATTCACACTTGTACGAGCCGCGAGTGTTGACGCACTTGTGGAACTCATCCGTGCAATTGTACAAATCTTCATCCAGGCATTCATTAACATCTGATTAAATTAATACAACAAAAAAAGGAACATTTTCGTTTGTTTTCTTCGTCCCACAGTTCGGTCGTAGGCTCGACACAAAGCGCATTATATATTTATTGTGAAGCCCTGGTAAAACGGACTCGCAAGTAGTCGCATGTAGTCGCAAGTTGAACTTGCGTCGAGAATTACGTTGGGTGGCCAAACCAGCGGACTCGCAAGATTTCTCGCTAGTGTATGAAAGTCGCAAAAAAACCCATTTCAAGGCAGACATATCCTGTATTTCGTTGGCTAATAATAGGCAAATGGACGTCACCCAACTTGCGTTGACTTGGTTGAGTACGTGGTCAAACGGTGAAAAGTTNATGTGCTACATGTAACTGACTACAGTGGGTAACTCAACTGTGAAAACTTGCATCGACTTACATGCAAATTTGATCTTGACCAAACTGAGCGCAAGTCATCGCAGGTCAACGCAAGTGCACGCAAGGCCTGGCCAAACGTAGTTGAAAGTAGACCCAAGTTTTCAGTTTGCGACTACTCGCGAGTCCTTTTGGTCAGGATTTAAACATAAATCATCATACCAAAAGTAATGAAATGAGATTAACGATTACATGTTAAATACCTTCACATTGGTAACCACCCCTGTTCAATTCGAATCCTTCTTCGCATGAACAGTAATAACTTCCTGGAGTGTTATCACAAATCTGGCTGCAGCGATGGCGAGGATTAGCTGGATCACATTCGTTGATGTCTTTGAAAATGAAAACAGAAAATTAGATGGCAGATAATTATTTTAATATATACCGGTAGGGTGTGTGATATTCCATCTCAGCAGCTAATATTTCATAATCTTTCAGTATTGTTAACGCATTACATCAGTTAAGTGAAGGTTTTGCAATAATATTCAATATTAGTCTAAAACTGCAAACCTCCTATCACGAATGTCGTTCTCTTATTGGCTACGCTACTCACTATCTTTTCTGTTGTAGATAGTGAGTCACGGTGAACGATTGATATCAAAATGCCAGTTTTTTGGCGTTTTCGAAGTGTCTTTGAAAGAGAAGATTTAGATAATGTTTTAAACGACTTGTAGATTTATACTAAATCAAGAGGCCGTTTCCGAGTTGCCTTTTGCCTCTGTGTAAAAATGAGTCTTCTTGCAAAACCTTTCATATGAAATTGAGTTCCACCTACAGAATCATTTTCAAGCAAATCAAACACATATGAAAGATTTTGCACGAAGACTCGTTTTGAAAGAGACACAACGTAACTCGAAAAAGGCCTATTTAATAAATTATTCGTTTTCCATTTCAACGCGTGATGGGTGGCCCAGGTTGCTTCCTTGTCAACTATCTGCACGCAGTAGAAATCTCGAGCACATACTCTAATATAATAAAGTGAAATTTATCAAAAGTCTACTCGGGATTCCGACCCGAAGGGATTAATTAAATCGCCTTCTTGTTCTCTGAGTATTTGGTATTTTATACACGAGAATAAATCGAATTCCTTCGTAAATTATTATCGGAAACTACAAACCTCATCTGTCGTGAGCCGTCACATTGTATCTTGTATATGGCAAAGCCTTAACACTTCATTATAATAATCAACTACAAACTTCAGCTGTCGTGAGCCGTCGCACTCTATCCTGCATATGGCAAAGCCTTAACACTTCATTATAACAATCAAGCAGATCTATCTCCTACATGCTGAATTACGACACTCATTAAAAATCAAAAATCAAGGAAAAAAAATAGTGAAGATTTGCTCAGGGTTATGCCTTGAGCTTCTCCCATCTTGTGCATCTTAATGATTTGTAGGAACGTTATACCACTACTCCCAAAAACTATTAATCGATAAAACAAAGCTATCAAGTACCTCTGCAGGCCTTTCCATCATTCTCCAGCTCGTAATTAGCAAAACATTCGCACGTTGGTTGGTTATTGCTTCCTTTGAAGCAGACATGTTGACAGCCATGTCCAAAGGTACAAGGGTTTGCGGCTGTAAAGAAAAGTTAATCACGTGACCAGGCAAGAAACTGTGCAGCAAGTGAAGCCCTAAGTACTTAAGAAGCTACGTCAAGATTTGCGCATCTTGAAAAGTTTAGCTTAAATTTTAAAGATTTAACATCCCAGTTTGCCACGGCATTTCTTGAGCATTTTAAAGTTCTTAACGATGTTGTCAGCTGTTAAGGCATGCTCGACCCTGAAACGTTTTCCGATCACGGAATGTTAATGTTCTTCTACGCGTTGATGGAGGTGGCGGCAAGAGTTCATTAAGAACAAAAGACCCAAACTGAACACGCAAGCGGATTCCATTCGTGCGAAACTTTTTTACATGAATGTTTTCATGTAACGTTTGCTAATTTCATTTTCTCACGTCCTAAGTGCTATAAATATGCCTTGGCGTTATTTTTAATTTATTCATTTGACAATGATGACATGAAGTCGTCGAAACGTCATGTAACTTTACTCACGTTAATTTTCCTGCTTAGATATCAAACTTACCTAAACATTTTCTCCAGTCAGCAGGATCAGGGTTGAAAAACTCGTCACATGAACAATTGTAGCTCCCTATACTGTTGGTACACTTCTGCATGCAGTCATTTGAAGGTTCGCATTCATTAATGTCTATCGATAAAATGGTCAGTTAATTATTTCATACTAAGTTTACAAAGGTGATTTATCCTTTACAAATTCTAAATTGGATAGTAAAAGAGTTTTTGACCGGAACGTAAAGTTTTTTTCTCAGAGACATCCTTCTTGTATCAAGCCTGTATTGGAAGTACAGAGAAAGGGATTATGTTCGAATTGTCCCGCTTTTTCTTCAAGCCTTTAATTTTATCCCTTGGTTTTAGACCACGCTGAAAGACGAAACTTCTATTGGCTAAATTTAGACTAGGGACGCGGGAAAACTGAAAAACACCGCACCTTGTTTTGAAAATGATCGGACGATCGATAAAGCCCTGAAAGAAAGATTTTTTAAATATGGTTTTGGCACTTCATATAACGCCGCGGTTAAAGAGCTTTACACGTAAACAGTTAAAAATTTAAGTGATGTAAATTCTATCCAGCAAATGTCNCATATAACGCCGCGGTTAAAGAGCTTTACACGTAAACAGTTAAAAATTTAAGTGATGTAAATTCTATCCAACAAATGTCTTACCATCACAGCTACGACCATCAGCGTTTAGTTCGTATCCGTCGTGACAATCACAGAAGAACGAAGCCGGAAAATTGACACAAAGCTGTTCACAGTCGTTTGACGAATTATTTTGACATTCATCAAAGTCTGGAAAATGGAAAGATACAGAGAACATTTATAGGCGAATAAATAGCGGCAGTCACATCAAAATCGAGAAAGAGGATGTAAAACAAGACAGTGTAAGAGATATGGAAAATTGTCGATCATTTCACCTCGGCAGTCATAAATTATGAACCCCTGCCATTCAAAACCGACTAAATTCCTTGCAAAAAATTTCGGACGTTTGATTTTCGGACAGGTTTTAACTTTCTTCGGAAAAATGTCGGACAATAATTTCGGACACTTTGCTGAAACATAGCTAGAGTAAATTTACGCTTTCAAACACGAATTAGACTGGAACAACATCTTTGAAAATGATAGTTTTACTGCACCCTCACGGTCTTAAGAATGCTCCGTTACGTATGTTAAGCAGTGTCTCAACTAGGGTTTGCTCTATAAAGCACGGAATAAAGGAAACTGAGAGCTTTGGAACTACTTCAAGGTTGTATACTGTACTCGAAATATTTCGCACCTTTAAAATTTCGGACACTTCTTTTGTCTGAAATCGAAATCGTCCGAATATTTTGCAAGTAACGTATTTAAAACTATCATTTTAGGTACTTCGTTCTCATATTTAAAGCGTCGTTTCTAAAAGGAAAACGAACTTCCTTCATTCTCAAGGTACCCTGCCAATCCTGTAAGCTCACCTACACACTGAGCGCCATCTCCAGTGTATCCTGATGGA